ATAGGCGCTGCTGTCATGCATACCGGCCGCCAACACGTCGGACGGAATACGAAGTCGTGCGGCATATGAGCCGTCACATTTTTTTTTTTTGTCGGAGGTGCCCGTTGCAACAGTAGGTGGCACCTGCATCGTCGTTGCACCGACGCTCATGATGAGGATGGCCGACATCACGAGGCAAATACGAGAACCCCGAGCGGGTGTTTGCTATTGTTGGCAGTTGCCGCGGGGGAGATGGGCGAGACGAGGTGGACGCATCGCCATCGGATGGACGGACAAAGCTGACGCGGGGGGATGCATTGATGCGGCGAGGATTTTGTTTCCGAGGAGGCGAGACGTTTCATGCACAATGGCGGGCGGTGCTGGGAATGACCAGATGGCACGCGGGCGTTTGGTCCTTTTCCCACCAGACGGCGGTCCCGGTGTGTCGGGAGAGCGTACAACATTGAGGTTGGTCTAGAATCGTGCTGCATGCGGTACGACGCGAGGATTGGGCTGTTGGCCGTTGTGTTTCCGGCGTCGAGGCCGATGCGGCGCGATACGAAGTTTTTTTTTTTTTTTCCGGAGGCGTGATGCGCTCACGAGGTAACAAAGGCTTGATTCATCATGGCGGAGCGTGGATTCGTAGTCGGTCTGACCACCACGGCGGGAAACATGGCCATGCGCGGGCCGGGGGATCTATTTCTCATGGGATGCCTGAGACACGCGACTGCGATTGGAACTTGGCGTTGCGGACATGGAGGGACTCGGGTTCGTAGGACTGGCTGCTGATGGTGTCGGTTTTGTCGGGCGGCAGCTGCGTATTTTGGGAACAATGAATTGAATCTTGTTCCATGGGAGTTTCAGAGGCGGAAATAGGAAAAAAAAAATATGCAGCGACCGACAGTTGGCCCATTCCATGTCATAGATGAGTTCCGTGTTCCATGTTGTAAGCTCTGGGTAAATAGTCATCGTTTTGTACGAACACGGCAGGCATAGGCAGATATAGCATGTCAAATAAACTCAAACGTCCCATGTATAGATCCCGCAGCCGCTCTTGGCCCCGACGTATTAGCTGCAGCGAATACCATTATTTTATTGTGTCAATGGGTGGGTGCCATCGCTCTGTCATCCCAGTGTCGTCTTCTCTCGCCAGATTCGTCCGTCATTCAACAACCACGGAGAAATAGCATGGAGAGCTACCCATGTCGCACACTTGACCATGCATAGGTAGACGGCATATAATTCCTTGTGTAAACATGCGCCTGGGTTTTAACCGCAGCTTCAGTTTCTTGTATCCTGCCGAACCCGCCCAACTCGCTACAAGCAATGACGGGTGCCTGCTTTAATATTCCACCGCAATGCATGTCGGATATTTCACAGCCAGATGTAAATAAGAGATGTAACTCTTGAAGCTAATATAGTATTGGCATAGAAATCTCAACATTCTCTGTCGTGTTGCTGACAACTTGACCGCTACAGCACTCTCTACATGCCCAACTCTTTCGCTACAATCTCCGTCCGCCCATCCGTTTGTCTAGTTACAAACTCGGAAAGGCTCCCTACGTCCGGCACCATCGCTTTCCCGTCCTCATCACCAGAGCAGCGGAAAGTGAACGTCTGGCTGGGCAAACACCCCCCGTCCTTGTCATCAACCACGTCGCTGTCCCCACGGGAGTTCAAGTGGTCAAGAGTCAAGACTACAGCGGAGCGGTAAAGCCAAAGAAGCCACGGCTGGGAGCTGACGGAGCCGATTTTGCCGGTCGCGGAGGAAGATCCGGGTCGGCGGGAACCTCGGGTCTGCGCTCAGCTTGCGCCGAGGCCGTGGCCGTCAACTCGGCATGGTGGCACCGCGCGCCTCGTCGGCGTCGACGGCATCGATGATCGCAAGCCACTTGACCGAGGCCCCAAGGGGAGCACGCAGCCGCTCGGCCATCTCGCCGCGACAGCAGAGAGGAAGCTCTGGCAGCGGAATTGTCCGTCGTGCTCCATACTATTGGATCGATATGCCGGCCCAGACCGCGAATCTCTATCGAATGGACTGGTGGCATAAGAGAGCCAAGGTTTTCGAAACTATTAACTAGGAACCAGCTTTAGAAATCTGTTTCAGACATGGAAAAAGAAGACTCACTGGGTATAGAACCGGCGCGCCCACGGGCCACAAGTCTGATCAGTCAGGACACGTATTTCCATCATGGCAGCATTGACGACCAGAAACTGGACAACATGCGCCGCAAGAGACGCAAGTCAGTTCCATGCTCCCAGCAGATTCGTCGCCCAAACACCTCGGCCTCACCTAGAACTTGTGATGAGAGCGTACAGGCCAGCATCATTCACGTGCCGGGGAACAGGTTCGTCATAGCAAACATGCCTCAACATCTCGCCATAATGGCTCTCCTGAGACATCCGTGTAATACTCGGAGAGATGAGAAGCCCTGTCACCACGCTTGATTTCATTCGCTTATATAGTGGAGATGGAGATTCCCTCATCTCTAAGCATATTCTATGGCTTACGTCCTATAACTCGGCGTCCTGATAACTAAGCATTAAAATATTTTATTATTTAGCCATGAAGTTTATGCGAGTTGGCGAAAATAATGCTAGTATTAATTAATTAAGTAATGCCCATAGTTAATGCATCCCACAAGCACCGAAAAGACATGTTTCCATTGCGACTCGTATGTCCAACGCCTGCGTCTTGACTCATAAAAGGCTTGTACGCATAAATCCAAGTGGGAAAATTAATATAAATCAAACAATACAGCCAAAGTCACTTTCTCAAAGCCCACTGTCGTGTCATGAGCGAGCACCCCGAAGGCTCTGGGAGTCAGGGAATAGGACCGCCGACTCATTTTACTTGACAGTTTCAACTATATACACGTCAATGTATCTTTGTGTGTATATATTTCGCCAGCAAAAGTATTTATAGGCTACGCTCTCCCACCCGACAAGATTATAACCCTAACATCTGTTCACAATCGATCGACTCAGTCTTTTGATATCCAGCCACTACTGTTCACATTTTGCTTTATTTCCACCTCCAATACCACAAGTCAAAGACTTCCATCAACACCGCACCGAAAATGAAATCCACTCCCTTATTGCTCGCCTGCATGGCCAGCCTAGCCCTTGCTAAGGCGATTGGCGAGCGCCAAAATAGCCCAATAGCCCGGAGTGGTGTACATCAATTTTGATTGCCAATGGACTTATCACGAATACCAATGCCGCACCAACTGCCACCAGCCAGCCAGTCAGCACGAATACCAATGTCGCACCAACTGCCACCAGTCAGCCAGTTAGCACGAATACTAATGCCGCACCAACCGCCGCCAGCCAGCCAGAAAAGTCGAACGAGGAACGGGTCAAAGAGCACTGCGACCGCTTCGGAGACGACAGGGAAAAAAAATACCACTGCAAGTATGCCGCAGGACAGTGCACGGGACGAGTGTATCACAACTCAGAAATTGAAGAATACCTACAGTGCATCGACGCAATCCAGGCCTGCTTCGTCTTTCATGTCGTACCAGACCAATGTTATGTCAATGCACGCGATTGCCAGAAGGACAAGGAACGGTCCTTAATGTTGCCTCTTGGGGACCTGGAAAAGCTTTTCGAATGTGCTATGACTATCCGCCCTAAACCAGCGTCATAACGATACATATGTAACCTTCGTGAGGCCAAAATTAGCGATACTTGGTGACTATCGCAAAGGTGCGACTATTATGGGGTTTATACTTTTACTTAGATCTTCTATGTAAAAATATATTTGTAAGGATTAGTTCCGTGTTGCACGATGTAAACCCCCTAAAAGTGTAAAATTTACGGCTTTAGTAGGGCCTGACATCGCCCGATACCGCCTAAATAACGATAAAAGGCCTCGATTTGTATAGTGACCGGGCCTGATACTTACGATATCATGTGAACCGTGACTATTAATAATTTACCAAGGAAAACCCCTTAAATAACCGTGAATTACTGTGTAAGGCGCAAACCTAGTAGTGGACCTACCACACCTTCCCACCTAGCGGGCTGAGTCACGGGAAAATCCCTAGTATAAATACAGCAATTCGGCGTAAAATCTAGAGGGGACAAGCTTTAGTCTTGTTATAATAGAATACCTACCTTTGGCTTGCCTGACTTTTCGATTATCCCTTCTATATTATAATAGCGTAACTATTACTAAGATGTAAGATTATTATAATATTGGTTTACTAATATTATAATCAGGCTATACTTGATATATAATAATTATTTATCATATTTTATAAACCCCCTTTTTTAAATTTAATTTTACTTAATATTAAACATTAACAGCTGCTGGACCTCGTCGGAGCCTTGGGCGCTGATCTCGGCACGCTTGTCGGTAGTTGCTCGAGACATCGATCCGGTAAGCTTCGCCGATATCACGAGGGATATTTCACAACCAGTGTCTTGATTTGAACAGGGCGCTTTTCTCGCGAATCTCGGCTGGCCCTTTAAATAATCCCGGCCGACTTACACGATGCGGCGTTTCAATTGTGCCGCCAGTGGAGACTTTAACCCGGCTATCGCCCCGAAGTGGAGATGATCCCGGACCCCGGACGTTCATCTCCATTGGCTGCACATTCCCTGGACCGGCGTATCCCGTATGACCCGGTGCCGAGTGGTTATGAAGCAATCGGCCATCATGTCGTCCTGGGCTCCCATGCCCCTCGTGGTATGCGGATAAATACCAGTTGACACTTCCCCGCGGGGGGAAAGTGGCGTGCATACAGGGCGCATCGAAACCGCAAGGTGACTGCACATGTGGTCTCACGCATTCCACGCCGAGTGAGTCACCGGCGGTGTTGCCCAACACCTCAGCCAGCCAACCAAGATGGCCAATTGCCATGACGCCTACCACAGGACCCAACACGAATAGAACCCGCGTATACTTCAACTACATTGATCCTCCCAAAAAAAACTTCGTCGTTGTCTCCCGCGACTCGATTGCGTAGGAAAAGACCCTTGTAAGTCGTAGTCCAGCAGCTCACACCATTGACACGATGGCATCCAACCCCGAGAAGCAACGCGGCATCCACGGCTCCTGGATTGAAAACGCCGAATGGTGGGACACCACAATGGGCCTTGACGGGAATAAATACTGGCAGCAGCTTCAGAAGCCCAGTCTAGAGAGGCTAGTTCCCGTACAGCCGGGCAGCAGGGCCCTCGATCTCGCCACGGGCAACGGCCTCGTGGCGCGCTGGCTCGCAGGCAAAGGCGCCTCCGTCACCGCATCCGACGGCAGTGAAGAAATGATCAAGCACGCCGCGCGGAGAAGCTCGCCCGACGAGGCGGACCGGATCTCGTATCGCGTTCTGGATGTGACTCTGCCCGAGGCCTTTGAGGACCTTGTCAAATCAGAGTCGGCTGTGAGAAAGCCCCCAGCCGAATAATTCCATCTACTAGCAAATTTACCTGCTAACCATGTGTTTGTTTGAAAGGAGGGGGGATTCGACATTGTGACGTGTAACATGGCGCTCATGGATATTTCCGACCTCGAGCCGCTCGCGGACGCACTGCCCAAGCTCTTGAAACAGGGCGGCATGTGCGTTTGATCCCGCCATGCGTCTTTGCTGAAATCTCCCTGGGTGAAGGCTGTGCTAATAGCCACTGAATTGCAGCTTCTTCGCGACCCTGCTGCACCCTGTGTTCTTCACCTCTGGGGCAACGCGCTTCGTCGAAGTCGTCACCAACGAGGCCACGGGCGAATACTACCACGCCCGCGGGAAAATCGTCCGCGAGTATCGCGACAAGGCTCCCTGGCGAGGTGTCGCCGTCAACGGCCAGCCTGCGTTCCAGGTAAGCAACCCGGGGATTCTCGCGGTGTGAGAATGCGGTAGTGAAGAGTGTGGCTCATGAGGACATGCGTAGCTCTACTTTCATCGCCCGCTCGATGTTTTGTTGGGGACCTTCTTCAAGACGGGCTTGGTCATGGATAGCTTGGAGGAGCTGTACTTTGACGAGGCGGACGCAATCAAGGAACGGCCCGAGTCGTCGGCGAATTATACGCAGATTCCGGCCATTATGGCCCTGCGCTTTCGCAAACTCCAGTGACGGGGCTTGGCCTGCCTTGTTTTGAAATGTGTTTTAATGCATATTGATTGATAAGGTATGAGCTTAAATTCTACGGGCTTCACTTGAACTAGCATGTTTCCATGATCGAATCCAAGCCGCTGCAAAACACCAGGGGGGGGGGGGGGGGGGGGGGTCCTACTTGCATGCAAGGAGTTGCGTAGCCACGCCATGTTTGCCAAAACGGATACATCAAAATTCAGCTTCTCTACGTATTTATAATCCGCTCCAGCGAGACACAGCCAGGCCCAGAGGGCATAAATCGATCCTAGCTCAGGATGAAACGATGATACTCGCACACAGGATGCATCATAACCCACGGCACGTTCACAGAAGGAGGCAGGTATCCAAGTAGCTATCAGTTGTAGTCTAAGGTATGGCCTACGTGTAAGAAATCCAAGTCTATATGCGCACACTCTTCTTCGGGTCACCAAATGGCTTCCGCAGCCAATACTCGCGCACGATCCAAGTCAAGCCTCGGGCGCCTCCTCTATCTCGCGCAATCAGGAGCGCTGGATCATTGCCTCACGGTCAGGACCAGTGCCGATGTACTTGATCTGCTCAACTTTAGCAATTGCGGTGCAGGTTAGTATGCGCGCCCAGGTACCTACCTTGACTCCGACAAACTTTTCGATGTACTGCTGGTGGTCAGCGCAATTCTGTTCGTTATGCTAGCCCAGGTGAATATGCTCACCTCGACGTAATCGCGGGCCGCCTTGGGAAGATCGTAGTAGGTCCTCGCGTTAGTGGTCGGCTTTTGCCAGCCTGGCATCTCGTGGTAAACCACCTCAGCTCGGTTCAAAATGTCAAGATCCGCAGGGTAAGAGTCCAGTTCCTGTCCAAACGGTTAGCGTCTCCAGAATCCATCATGATCTCGTTGGCATCACTGACCTCTCCGTCGATCTTGTAAGCTATGGCAATCTTGATCGTTTCGAAAGTATCCAAAACGTCGAGCTGCAGAGTGTTAGAGCGGTTTAACGCGAGTCACAAGCATGCCATGGGCAATGTCTACCTTGGTGAGATTCAGGCTGGTGTAGTAGTTGATCGAGTTACTGTACTTGACAACAACAAGGTCTGTTTGTGTTTGTCAGTTGTGTTCCCTACTACTCAAGGTTTTGAGGTTGTGCGTACCGAGCCTGAGAATGGTCAGCAAGTTTGTCAGCAGCTAGGAGCCGTGATGAAAACTCACCATCCACACCGGCGTCTGCGGCCAGTCGACGTTCCCTAAGTCTTGTCAGCGGTAAAAGCTCGAAATCTCCAGGGCACTTATAGCCTCACCCATTCGCGACCAATCTCCTGGAGCTTGGTGCCAATCCTGAGGTCATGATTCAGCTTCAGAGTCGCTTCAAGATGGTAATTCAGACGCACTCTTCGGTATCTTCAGTCTTGAAAGCCCCCGCTCCGACACGGGTGGTATCTGTTGCCAGTCAGCAGTGAACCACAGCCTTGGGGCAATCGACATACAAGCCTTGACCACTCCAACCGTCTCTGTGATATTCTTTGGGTTCAGTGTAAGTCCACCAATAATACCAGCAAGCGTAGTACTTGAAGAAGTGACAAACTGTAGTTAATCATGAGTACTAGTGCAAACTGAAAGGCCAAGTTGACAGAAACTTACTGGGTAAGAGCCATAATCAACGTCTAGCATCAGTGCCTGTTCAATTGGGAACAAGCACAAGCGCCAGGTCCCAGAACCCCTTGCCTTCATAGGAGAGGCGGCTGATGCCGATCTACCAGCATCGCACGTGGCGCAGAGGTTTGACGTGAAAATGAAGCCCTGGGATCATCTCAAGACAAGCTTTCTGAGCACAGTTTGGCTTGAACCTCGAGACACCATGACTGGGTCTGCTCTGAGTTGATTCCAGGGCGCCATCCTCACGTGAAATTGTCATTAACTCCACTGACCACGCTCGATAGCCAACAAGTAGATGGGTAAAAGCCAGGTTTCCATATGACTCCCGAATCCTGCCGAGGCGTGAACATAATACACAGTTTGTTACAGCGCAGACTCCTTGTAAGATTCCGCCAACAAAGTGATTGCTCAGACGAGCACTATGTTCCGCCCCGAGCTAAGAATCCTTGCGGGACTAGGAAAGAGGACTGGGGACCACGGGCACGGTGCTCGTTCCACCAATGTGTCAGTACTATTCGTTTAATCTTAGGATGAGAACCTTACGTTTGCGCCTTCGATCACAATTTTCGTGTCGCTCTGCTGTGCGGATCTCATGAAGGACACGCCGTCCACGACGTACTTCTTTAGCGTCTCCCTGTACTCGTCGAAACGAGCAAGCTCGGCTTTGATGTCGTATTCGAACAGTTCCCCGAAGCGCTTTTGATAGCCATCGGCTAAGCGCCTCACCTTCTGCTCGAAAAGGTCAGGATGGAAGACGTCGGTCAATTTGATGCCAGTTCGCTGGAAAAGTTAGCGCGCAGTCCGCTCCCTTGTCATGACTATCTCTTACCGCTCTGCTTGTCTGATAGCAGGGACCAATGCCTATGGCGGACGTTAGACCTCGTTGCTTCAATAGCGTCGCTAGCACGACGATGACCGAGATTGTCCCCGCTATTGAGATTTGGGAATGCTTGCAATAAGGTGACAGGAGCAGAAAAGGATAATCCGGCATGGAATCCTGGGGGTCGCGTACCGCGTTTTGTTGTTCCGATAGCTGCGTCTGGGGTAGACGTTAGCTGCTGTTCCTCAACGACAATGTCGGAAACTATGAAACGAACCCCCGAGTTCCCTTTCCTCGAGACCATCCACTGCAATGTGCAGGTCCAAGAGGACATTGACCCTGTCAGAAACAAGGATCCGGTCATGCACCGCGGTCAGGCCCTTTTCCTCGAGCTCCCGGAGCTCGCTGAAGAAACTTGGGCTGGAGGACAGAGTCAGTCTTCTTGGCATGTTCGGTTGGGGGGCGCGAGCCAGGCGAGACATCAACAAGACGCCGATGTGGTAGTCGAGTTAGGGGTGGAGGATTATATGAAGACTAACACGTGGAATACTACGCCCGAACCGATGAAGTTCATGCTATGATACTTGTCAGCCTCGCCGTTGCCAGCTTGAACGATCATTATCCTTGACGAACCATTTTGGGTTAATCAGCCCAGAGGGCAAGAGGTGAAAGCTGCCTCTATGTTAGCAACCACCCCGTCCTTCCACGTGTGCTGGTTCTCACCTATACGAAACTCCGTTTACGCTTTGCACCTATTAGCATCACAATATACATGTATAGATATCGATCGATAGAAGGCGTTCAACCAACCGCACGAGATGCCCAGCGTTAGCCCCACCCTTGACGTTCATTAGCAGGTATTTCGGCGCAAATTTGTCGTTTGGGGATGTTTAAGCATCGGTGGAAGCCGTTTGGTCGACCGGATTCTGCCTGCGTTGTGCTTACCGCGGCTCGAGCACAGAGTTGCGCCTCCCGGCACTGTCCATCAACCAACTTGCCCTTCTGAGTACGCATTATCGTTAGTTCCTGGGTGTAATTGGCTGTGTTGGGTTCTCCACGAGTACTCACGCCTTCGTCGCCTGTAGAAGTCCTGGTTAGTATAGTGAGATCGAAGCGATATCGGTCGGGTGCGGAGGAAGGACATATTCCAGGCAAGGGAGAGAAACATACCCCATTGGGCCCCAAGAATGACAGTGATGGTCATGTTGCGCAGGATCAAAATTGGCTGTCGTGGGTGCCGCCGTTGTGATTGCAGAGGGGGAAAAAATGCGATCCGGACAAAGTTTTAAAGCCGCGGTCTGGTGCTCGAAAGATGCGTCAGAGCAGCTGTTGAGGGGGATTACGGCATAGGGTTTTCCCGGAGGGGTCATTGGTACTGGTAGGTCCCGGCGGGCCCTTGGGTTCGGGTCCGCGCCGGTAGCCAGGCCGGATAGAGCCTTACCCAAGTACCTAGCTTAGTATGTATGTACCAGACATAACTTAATCAATCGGCATCTCCATTACCATCCATTTTCGTGTGTCACAGCCGCGCGATTTAGCGGGGTACTTGCACTATGCCCCTCCATCCCACCATCAAGTACCTAGGTACCTAGGCCGTGCTGCATGCTCCCCTGGCACGTGCAATCTGATCTGTGTGCGGGAACATTCAAGTCTCCCCGCACTGATTATGCCTGCGGAAAGTGCGACACTTTTCGCCTGATTTAGTGGCTTTAGCAGCCTGGCGTTTTCTCAATTTCAAGAGTGTTAAGTTTATATTATTCATATTTTAGGCTAGTTGTTTTGGGACACCATTCACACCTTCAGTATTTTGACGTTTCAGTTGATGCAATACATCTGAGATGGGAGCTATTTGGGTATCCAGACACCAACAACCCCCTTTGTCGAAATCATCGCAAGCGTCATGCCATATCTCTATCATTCTTGGTACCATCAATTGTACCTACTACCAATGGCCATCCAATCCTCGGCCAAAAGCCGCCTGTCTATAAATATTTGTGTCGCTAGCTACCGGATGCCCATCGCCGTTTAATAAGTGTAGCAGTCTACCTTTATGATCATGATTCCTCCTCTTTTGCCTTCTTGCCCAGGTCCTTTGCGGGACCACAGTCCAATACCTGGCCCTTTTCAAGGCGGAGACACCAATTTGCGTCCTCGACAGCCTCGAGTCTGTGAGCAATGGTGATAACAGTACTCTTGGACAGCTCCTCTCGTAGGACTTTTTGGACTGTGGCCGCAGTCCCGCGATCGATTGATGCTGTCGCTTCGTCTAGGATAACCAGTCCACTCTTGCGCAAAACTGCGCGTCCGATACCAACCAACTGCCGCTGTCCTTGGCTAAGATTTTTCCCGCCAGCGTCGATTTGCGATGCCAACCCCCATTCCTTCCCAAGAACATTTTGAATCGCATTTTCGCACTCCTCATCGGAAAATTTACCCTCTGGGTCGATATTATCACGCAGAGTTCCCGGGAACAGTGTAGGGTCTTGCTGAATGAATGTGACACGGTTTCGAAGAGCAGTGCGGTTGACCTTGGCCAGATCCATGCCGCCAATTCTTACCGTGCCTTCGGATGCCGTCTCTGTCACCAGCAGTGCATTGGCTATGGTGGACTTTCCTGACCCAGTTCTACCTAGCACCGCGCACGTAGATCCTCCCGGTATCTCAAAAGTGACCTTTTTGAGGACATTGGGCAGTCCCTCGGCGTATTTGAAGGACATGGACTCAAATTTGACGTCGTCACATGGCCTAGGCCAATCTGCAGGTGGCTCCTCGTCGCCATTTGGCTCCTCTGGGATCTTGTCAAGCATGCCAACACGCTCCAGCGATACTGCGTCTAGTTGAAGCTGGGCAAATTTCTCGCAAAGCTGTTGAATAGATGCCATAGAAATTGACGTCTGCGTCAACACAAATCCAATAGCGCTTGCTGGAGTGCCGCGCCAAATCATGAAAATAATCAGGGCAGCACGAGTGCAGGCAGACGATATACTGAGCCGAAAGTCGAGCCAGAAAGCCATGCTCCAGAAAAAGTGATCCTGCTTCTGGAAGTCATCCACCGCATCCAAGTGCCGGTCCTGGAAACGACCTTCTACGCGAAGCGCTCTAATCGTGACAAGGCCGTCCTGCATAACGCCAATATTGGCAATGATGGGCGTGAGATATCGCATTTCCATGCGTCGCAAGCTGCGTGAAACTGGAACGTAGATTCTGAAAAAGTAAACGAATAGGACAGCGACGGCGCCGAGAATAATGAGAAGCATTGGCTGGTGTGTTGCAATACCGACGATGCTCAAAACAAGAGCAATGAAATTATAGACGAAGCCTTCCAGTGGTGCCAAAATGCCACCATCAACCATACCCATATCAGAAACGAGTCGGTTTTTAAGCTGTCCGGTGGGTGTAGTGTCGTGATATCTGAAGGTGGCTTTGCTCACTCGGCCGATGGCAGCTTTGAAAATGCCTTGAGCAGCATCGATAGAGATCTTAGCTAGCAGCAGTTGGGCGATACCGTATGATATGGTCTGTCCGAGTGCAAGACCGCCAAACACAGCGAGCCAGATTTGGGGAAATTTTTGGGGATTTGGAAGGCTCCAATAGCCTCTTGTAGATATCACACGATCTTTCGCCGTTTCATTTCCCCACGACTCAAGCAATGACGCTTCCGAGACATCGCAGTATCTGGAGATTCCGTAGAACAGTGCTAGGAATGCCCACATATACAATCCACCAGCCCTCATATAGTTCAAATAGACTGTAAGGGGCACGCTTCCAGTCTCTGAAGGCTCTTCCGGTGCCTCCTGCAAATCCTCCTCCTCCTCTTCGTGGGTTTCATGAGTCGGTTCAAGTTCTTCCACTATGGTATCTTGAGACGTAGCATGATAGGGATGCTCAAGTTCATTTTTAATTTCCGATTGAGATAACCTCCTAGCGGTCCCATCATCCATATCAATGACTTGATTAGCAATGCGAAGGACCAGGTCATCGCGATGCGTCACCATCACAATAGTGCGTTCCCTGGCCAGAGGGCCCTGTAAAAATCGTCGTACAATATTGCTCGCAGTGTCGTGATCCAAAGGAGCAAGAGGATCATCCAAAAGAAGAATTCTGCATGGACTGTATACGGCTCTGGCCAAAGCAACTCTGGCTTTTTGGCCCCCAGATAACCCAACACCGCCTTCCTCCAACTTGGTAAGATCACCATCGGGAAAAGCTGCTAGGTCAGGTCCTAGCGCACAAGCATGCAGGACTTGTCGGTATCGGGCGGCATCGAAGCCATGATGAAAGACGATGTTCTCTCGAATAGTCTTATTCTGTAGCCATGGAAGCTGTTGTGCATAACCAACCGGTTCATCTGGTCGAAGAAGATCGCCACCATGCAACTCCATTTCGTTCAAGGCTGCAAGTAAGAGGCTAGATTTTCCGGAGCCAACTTTTCCTCGGATAATCGTGAGTCCTTTGCCAAATTTGAGATTGAGCTGAGAAAGAACCAAGTGATTGGTGGAGGGCCAAGCGAATGAGGCGCCATGAAATTCGATATCACTAGCGTCTGTAGTGCCGAGAGAATCTTCGTCCCGATCTGGTTCCTCCATGTATTTGTTGACACGTTCGACAGGAATTATTGCCTTCCAATAAGCAGTGATAAGATCGAACGCTTCTTTGAGACTCGCCTCCAGTTGGTTGAAGAGCTGCAAAGACGGCCAAATAACGTCGTTTGGAAGACCTTGTCGGAGAATCAGCGTGTATAAGCAAATGCTGGCAAAAGGGTAAGCCGAGCCTCCAGCAACATTTGTGGTGGATATCGCTGCAGTTACCCGTGCAATCTGCAGTCGCTTCAGCATCTCCATGGTTCGAAACTTGAAGATTCTAGCACTCCAAGAAGATGTCCAGCCGTTGAGCTTCAAAGGTCTACTAGCTTCTACAAAGTGAGCCACAGCTTGTGCGCGCTTGTCGGAGTGCGCGGTCCTGGAACGTTCCAGTTGAACGACCTTGCGAACGAGGAGTGAGTTGCTGGTCAGGAAGAGGATCATGAGCCCAAGGCCGACACAGGACGGCCAGCCCATAATGTCGATGAGATAGTAAATTGTAACAATAACCTTGATTGGCTGCGACATGAGCTTTGGAAAATCCCAGAAGCGCTGAGAAATCTCGTAGGTATCTCCCCGAACAAGATTGACGACCTTTGCATTTGATGCAGGGGTTGCTTGTGCAGGAGTCGACTTGACCCTGTGTTTGCGTCCACAGCAGCAGCTAAGCCATCCTCTTCGTAAGGTATTGTTTGGCCTTGTCAGTGTTCCGACACTGTCTTCTTCTGGACCCTTTTCGGTGACATCTGATCCTGGGACGGCCCGGGTAAGGAGCTTCCCAAATAGCGCAATAAAGGTCTCGCCCCTAGATCGTTCGTAGGCCTTGCGAGAGTACCAAGAGGATGTCGTTTTGGAGACCTGTCGCATAAAATCCACGCATAGCATTACCGCGCACCAAAAGTTGGCTTCGGTTGGGTTACCGTTGTCCAGCGCATTGTAAAGCCGGCTGGTGAGGCGAATGTTGGATACCTCAGCGAGTTTCTCAACGATAGCAAGAGTAGTCGCAATGGATAAATCGAGACCATTTGCTTCGATCAGGCAGGGGAGAAGCTTTCCCTGGAGTTCGCGGAAGGCTAGATAGAGGCGTGTATGTTGGAAATCATGCGGTAGTTGCCACACATCTTCGACAGTGATTTCTTTCTTCCGACAGAGCCGGGCAAGCGGGTATACCCACGTCATAGCCCAGAAAGTGAAGAGTGTGAGGTTATCTTCCGGGCTTCGAACATGATGAGATGGGGGGAGCTTCGGGTTTCCAATGTCTTCAGCATCCCAAGCTGGGTTTCGAAGTGGCATGCTGCCAATCGAAATGATACCGAACAAAGAGAGAGCCAGTCTTGCAACGCGAAATGGATCGATGGACCGAAGATGGTGGTCCAAAAATTGGGCAGAATAAATAGCCATACCGGAGCTGAAGACGAGAAAATACTGCAAGAGCAAAATCCGAGGTGTGCTAGTGGGCCGGTCCAAAGCAGTCATGAATAGAATAGACATCCAGGGAACAATATCGAGAATGCCTCGGCGCTCATTCGGGGCGAGGCAAATCGGTACAACCGACAAGATAAAGCCAGAAATAGAGATAAAAGCAAGAATTAGAGTCCAATGTGTCCAAGCCTTGCGTTTATTTGACGCATGGCCTTCTTCTCTGGCAAAAGGCTGAAGCCATCGAGGAAGGAGGCGCTGGAGTCGATTGCGAAAGACATAAAGAGAAAATGTCGCAACTGAGATTACACTCAGCGTAATCAAGATATTCGCATCTGTATTTGATATGCGAGGATTGGGTCTGAAGGTTATGCCACCGATTGAAAGCTGGCCACCAACGCGAAAGCGAGGAGACAGGCTCTTTGAATCAAGCTCGGCAGCATTGGTGAGGGCGGCCATGTTGAACAGTTGTCATTTAGTAAAGGTCATTTGATGGTCATCTGAATAGCTTCAATGATGGGAGAGGAAAAGGGATTAGAGAGACAAGACCAGAATGACCTGGCTTGGAAGGCGTCAAAATATGTACTCTCACCGCTGGGAGTCGCATCAGCAATTGCTTCCACGTGGTAAAGTTTGAAACGCCGAAAAATGCTAGAGGAATTCAAAGTTGATAGCGGTATGACGGCTCAAACGTTCCCAAGCCTAGTTCATACTATTGGTAAGTATAAGTCAAGTCAAGTCTATCTGGCATAGTCCAGCCTTGCCGTGACTAGATCGTGATGCTGGCGCTTGGCGGGGTGCTTCCATCAAGTACGCAGCGGGCCATGCATTGACGGCGCCAATTGACTGCTCCAGGCGGAGAAATGACAGTCAGAGACACAGAGATCCCAGGCGACAGCAGCTGATCAAAACGAACAAAGCATTCCGTCTCGCAATTGATGCGAAGGGCAGGCTCGCGATACCGCAATGTCCCAAATGCCAAAGTTGGGGTAGAATATAAAAGTGGGGATCGTGAATTCTAAGCGATGCAATCAGAGGCGTCGATGGACCCGACACCGCAAGTCCTTGGAGGTCCATCATGTGGAGATGCGGGATGTACTAAGTTGTGTACTGAGTTGGTTCCGTCCTATGGTTAATGAGCCGTGGGTGTTGAGCCGGCTATGCAACAGGCCAACGATAACAAAGACCGTGCCAAACAAACGAAGTTCTCGGGGTTTGAGTTTTAGGGATTGCTTGGTCTAAAGCAAGCGGGAATTCAATTTTTAATCTCCATGGCCCTGGCATCGCCTAGGCGGGAAGGCGCAGGCGCCACTCCTGCCAGGTTTTAGCCATTTGCCAAGATTGAAGCAAGACCACTGCTCAGCTCCAGATGTCAGTTTGCACCCGTCACATCTAGGTGCGAATAAAGTCAAGAGGCAATACGATTTCCATTTCATCGCTACATGCTAGGCAAACCATTGGCATACCCGATGCCTTCACTCCGTATCCCGACAATTTGTTTTCACAGTCCCCTGTCCGCGGGGTTAAATCATCAAAGCTCCACCCAGCATTGCCATGCACAGAATAGTCAACGCACCACCCCATCCCGCGCTGGTGAGGGACCAAGCATGAAGCGATGATGCAGCACCCGAGTGTGTAGCTGTCGCGCTAGCCGACGTCTTTGATGCAGTACTGGATCCAGAGCCAGATGTAGGTGTAGATGATGAGCCACTGCCCACGAGTGCAGTGAGCTTGGAATCGTCGGTGAACGAGGCCTTGACGCTTGACGCATTCACGCAGGCAGACGGCTTGTCACCCTTGCCATCGACAAAGTTGACAACAGCGCACTACACGGTATGATATACATTAGCATCTTCTCGGACAAGGCAGCGGCCAGCTCACTCACCTGGTACAGAAGACCATCCGTCGCAGACGAAACGACACTAAGAACGCCCTTCTTGCCGGCGTATTTGCTGGGCACTGTGACTTGAGGCTCACAAAAGTCTCCCAACCCGCTCTGTTGCACAATGGGGAAGATCTGTTCCCAACCGGATTCAGCCTTCTCATCAGTGGTGACGCGGAAGAGCCAATTGCCTTGGGGGTGGGTGAGCTTCACGGAGATGGCATCACCGCCCACGTGAAAATCGACCAAGTCCTTGGACAAGTCTGGTGTAAATCCGCCACAGGGAGCATTGCCTTCATTCGAGTCGTCGAAGCCAATGGATTTGGGGTAGTTGAGGAGAAAGTGGGCGGATCCCAGGCCGCAAAGGGCGGACAGCAGTGCAAAGGACTTCATGGTCATAGAATCGGCAAGCTGCGTGAAAGCTAGACACGGGACGTATGGGACACGGTGACGATAGAAAAGTACGCCGAATGGTTGGGATGGGCGTCACAGCCTTATAGCGAAAGCTTGGGAAAGGTGGGTGTAACGAACAAGTAACACAAGGAGGGCTAGGGGATAGGTCGGCTTTACGGCCTGCTCCAGGAAAATGACATTCTTGGACGAGCTCTGTCAAGCTGCAGATCGCCTACTGATGGCCTTGTCTGGTACGGCATCACGGAGCTCGGCCTCGTGGACTGCTGCACGGAAGCGCCACTTTGTCGAACTATCCATGTCAACGGCACAGACGTTCCGGATGAGCAGCATAACCCAGGCATCAAGACAAAAGTCAAAGCGGTCCATCGCGGCCATGGTGTTGAGGGGCAAGTCGGGAGGATGTTCACACCGGAACCAGCAGTGGGTCTGGCGTTGGGCTTGGACTAGGATCCCGCATCCGACGTGCGCAGTCCAATCAAAGCCGCCACATTTGAGGCAAGTGAGTATGTTTGAGCAAGTTTGTTTCTTGAGGCTGGAGGGAAACCAGCTCAGTCCTGGGGTCTCAGACCCAAGCCCACATTGCGGATGGATGAACAGCTGCCCATCTCGCATTGTTCTGCATGCAGTGGGTCCTGAAAAGAATATTCGGGGAGCAGTGACGCACATGAGCACAAGTGCGGCTGGATAATGAAGAAGTGTCTACCGATGGCACTGGCAGATGGTCAAACTAGTAGGTCTTCAAGGGTCGCTCATTGTGACAGACGCCTTGACTTTTGCCTTCGACACCCTATGCTTCATTGATGTTCGGCGCTTGACCTCCAACCTGGTCAACCCGTGAGAAAGTTTCATCCTCAGCCACCAGACTTTGGGAAATTGGTTTGTGACTGGGAAATTTGCGGCGCATTAAAAGACGGGTTGTTGAGACAGAATTCGTGAGACGGCCCGCCGACACTCCACCAAGCCGCCAACTCCCTCCCGAAGCCATCCGGCTCTCTTCTCGGTCGTCCTCGACAAAACACACAAATCAAGTTTTCCCCGATTATTCGATCCCTGGTATCGCAAACCAGAATCCCCAGGAATCATGGATATGGGAGATATGCACATGCATGATGCGGGCTTAGGCATGGATTACAACTACGCCTTTGCCCGGGACTACTGGTATATCATTGCTGTGGTGGTTGGCGGCTTGACCGCGCTTCGAAGCATAGAGATATATACAGGTAGACAAAGGTACAGTGCGTGATAAAATGTTTTCTGTGCGATATGCATTCTAAGTCTTCGAAACAGGTTAAAGGCTTGCAAGGAAACCTCGATAGAACATGCCACGAGACCGGGGAATCATGTCAGCCAGGCGTGGGCTACCGCAACCGCCATTACCCGCGAGATGAGCCATCCGCAATTGTATGTATCAAGAGTCGGTTTTCGATGGGCTACGCCGCCGCCGTTGGGAAGGATCATAGTCCTTCTGTGCTACTGGGCCATGATTATCTACTTCATGTCCTGGAATGCTGTCAAGAACGACGCGTATTTCTGGGAACGCATCGGCTATCGAAACGCTTGGGTATCCATAATGCAGCTGCCCTTTATCTTCCTCCTCTCCATGAAGTTCAATGTAGTGGGCTTCTTGATTGGGAGTAGCCACGAGCGACTGAATTGGCTTCACCGTTGGGTTGCGCGAACCATGTTTGTCACTGCGACAGTTCACGGCTGGCATTTTTGGACGGAATGGGTACGGGCAGACTTTCTTGAGTATGAATTGTCCATTATGCCTCTAGTCAGATACGGACTTGGCGCATGGGGAGTACTGCTCTTCAATGTGGTTGTCGGGTTTGTGCCCATCCGGAGAATGGTGTACGAAATTTGGCTGATACAACACGTGCTATCATCTGTCGCCATGTTGGCGCTCCTCGGTTTCCACATTCCGGCCGACGCACGGTACCTACTGTGGATGTCGGTGTCGTTCCTGGCGTTCGATAGAGCGGCGAGGGGGGCATTGACAGCCTGGCAGAATACCCGATGGAAGCCAAGCACGTCGGCTTGTGAAGGGATGAGGCGATTAGGACACAACATGTCCTCACGAGCCGTAGGCGACTCAATCACCGTGCTGACCATCAAGGATGTTCATTTTAAGTGGCATGCGGGACAACACATTTACCTGTGGATTCCTCGGCTCGGTTTGTTGGAATCCCACCCATACACCATTGCGTGTGCGCATCAAATCAAGGGCTCGTGCTGTTGCAACAGTATACAGCTCATTATCCGGTCACACGGGGGGTTTTCGAAACGCATCCATAATTTTGCTGTCAAGAACCCGGCCAAGACCCTGAGTGGATATGTATTAGGGCCATTTGGAGTAACAACCAGATGGGAGACATTTGAGACTCTTGTTCTGATCGGAGCATCAACGGGAGCAAGCTTCACAGTGCCCATCATGGAGTATGTTGCCTACTCAGAAAACACGTCATGCGTGCGGAGATTGGAGATGACACTGGTGGCAAGAACGGCGGAGGAGATGGAATACTACGTGGAAAGGGCCAGAGATGCTGCCAGGAGCGCGCAGGAAAAGGGCATTATGGTACGATTGCACATTGCCATCACAGGCGGCTATTCAGAAACGGATTCCGGAGTACCGCTTGTTCAGCTTCGACGGGACGTCAAGGACGACTCAACAGAAGGCTCAATAAAAGAAAAAGCAGCCGACTCGTACTCTGGGAAATCAGTGGAAGACGGTCTACGATCCAGGAATAGAAACTCATGCTCAAGCACGTCTCGCAACAGCACATCTACTGTCGACATGGTGCGCGAGTACGCGTCCAGGCCAGACATTGAGGCTCTACTCCGTGAGCCTGTTGAACAAGCATGGGGGGAGACGGCAGTGGTGGTGTGCGGAGGAAAGGAAATCGTGGCGAGGACGCGAAACTGTGTTGGCAAATTAAGTGATGAGCGGGCGGTACACAAGGGAACAGGCGCACAGGGTATCTATTTGCATGTGGAAGAGTACGCATTTTGACGGAGTTTTGACACTTGGGCAGCGTTTAATTGATTTGGATCTGGTATGAGAAACTCTTTTGATGAGGTGTGCGATTGTAACAGCAGGAAAGACATGGTTGAAGCGAGAGGACCTCGTTGGAGAAAACTTGACCTCACAAGAGAGTCTGGTTGATCAGAGCGGAAGCCAAGAGATGCCAAAGGGTCAACTGGTCCAGATGTCAACGGTAGCTCAAATGTAAGATTCCTCACGCGTCGGCCAGGACAGTTGAGCATCATGCTCGCCAATAAGCTCCAGTCTTGGCTCTCGGCCAAAAAAAGAACACGGGACCCCTGCTGTGGCTGTCCCCAACGCACCACGAACAACAAGGCTCGTCGTGTGCCCACGCAGCAAGCCAAGACGCCAAGCAAAAAGGCTGACAGATGGACAGGATGAATGCCGTCGTGCGAACCAGCCACAGAGCAGGCGACCAGAGTCGCCGCTTGACCGCAACACGATGACCACCCACCGCAGCACCGCGAACAGACAACAGTAAACGGTCAAGTTGCATGGTGACTCTGGCACAGCACAAGGCTGACGTTCCCTCATGGCGGCATGGCACCTCCCTGGCTGGGGGACGCTCGCGCGGACAGCGGCCCGCGGCGCAGCGTGGGCGACGGACGTGGCGGCCATCGTGGTGCTCTGCTTCGTTGCGCAGAAATGGACGGCGACGTGCGGGGCCGTGGCGCCAGGAATCATCGGCGTGAGTATTCAGTCTTGACTACTACTATCCCCTTCCCCCCCTTGGATGTATGGTCTGGCGTCTTCAATGTTCTGACAAGCACGGGGCTCGCAGGCCGTCATCGCCCTGCTCAGCGATAGCTGGCAGATGGTCGCGTTTGCCGACCGCCGGCTGGGCGTGGCGCCCACGAAGCCGCACCGGACGCTGATGCACGACGTCTTCTCGCTGGCCGTCACGCTCGGCGGCGTCGCGCTCATGCTCGTGTCCAACGTGCCGGGCAGGGAGGGCCGCGATCCGGCCAGGAACCCCGGCGACGAGGGGCCCGGCGACGGCGGAATCGCCCTGCGCCGGTCGACCATGGCGTGGCTGGGCCTGTGGTTGCTCACCGTCATCATGTGAGTGTCTTTGTTTTCCCCCGTCCGACGGCGGCGGCGGGCTGATGGCGAGCAGAGTCTTTCGCGTTGGGTTTGCGGTATGGTCCTGTGCCGACTGTTACAAGGAGTATCAGCGCGATGAGAGGCACGCTTCGAGGCGGGCCGACGCCGAGCAGGGGCCGTGAAGAGGAGCACTTGCTGATGGGATGCAATTTGGGCTGTGTGCCTCGGCTCCCGGCGTGGCGGCCGTTGGGTCGCGTATACATCCCATACGGACCTGCCGTGAACTGCATCCGGCATCGCCTCGTGGTGGCCGTGACGCAGGAGCCATGGTGTATTTGCTGGGCTGGAGATGGCAAAAGACGGATGGAGCTGAGAAGCCTGACGGGCAGCTACATGCGCCGGTTGACGGCTGCGGTTTTTGAAGACATTGAGACCATGCACGTGGCCATGCGAGCTTTCCCCGCGCTCAATACGGTCGAGATACATGGAGAAACAGGTCGACGGGTTGGGTTTCGCCTGCAGATGGAAATCCGGATGTGTGCGTCTCGGGCGGCGGAGAAGCCTCCCGGTCCCGCGATCCCATCTCCGGTCTCATGGGCTCGTGTCGGTGCTGGATTTGGTTTGGGTTCTAGGTTTTGATGACATGTACATATGTGATTGCTCACAAGGCCAACCCGGCATTCGTCACTACATGTCAACTGGTACTAGAGCTTTCCCCGCTCGGTTGACGACTTATCACGAGTCTAGGCGCGGCCCGACTCGGCCGAGCATGCTCGACATTGTATATGTAGCAGTAGCTTCTTCCATTGCAAAATACATTACACCGTCCCACGTCTTGCCCACGTCTTGCCCACGTCTGGCCTGCCAAGAAAAGTGCCCGCAAAGCCTGCCATCCCGTCATAGCGTCTCAACGCGGCAAAGCTCGCACTTGCGCGACCGCACCGGTCGGATTGGGCCGAAGCATCGATCGCATGGCCCGGAAAGACCCTCGCCGACTCGGCGTGTCCCAACATTGAAGCCATCAATGTACATGGTGCTCGGCCGTGTGCTGCCTTCTCGCCAGTTCGCTGGATGCCGCTAACTGCGATGCCGAGTTAAATAAGCGGCGACGCCGGCGTAGCTCCATGCTACTAGTATGTGAGTTACTCATGGGCAAGCCACGACCAGAGTCACGGTTGTACGGTGTCACTGATGGGGTGGTCTTCTCGCGGAACTGTTATACGAGGGCCGTGTCGACTTTTTGTGTTTGTCACTTCGTCGGGTGCCGCTGGCAGGGGTTGCGCTCCTG